TTTCTGCGATCGTTCACATAGAGTGATGGTCTTCAGCTGCGTTCGTGTTGCTGCAAAGGCCGTGATTTTGTTCTTTTTTTTTTGAGTCGGATTCTCACTCTGTCACCCAGACTGGAGTGCAGTGGCCGCTCCCGGCCACCGCTGCCTTGACCTGCTGGACTCCGGCGATCCTTCTGCCTCAGCCTTCCAAGTAGCTGGAACTACAGGCACCCTACCATGCCCAGCTAATTTTTGATCTATTGTAGAGATGAGGTCTCGCCAAGTTGCCCGGGTGGGTCTTGAACCTGTGGGCTCAGGCAATCCACTCACCTCGGCCTCCCAAAGTGCTGGGATTACAGGCTGAGCCACCGAGCCCAGCTGATTTTGTTCTTATTGGGTGCATAGTATTCCATCGTGTATGTGTACCACGTTTTCTTGATCCAGTCTATTTTCGATGGGCATCTGGGTTGGTTCCATGTTTCTGCTGCTGTGAATAGCGCTGCAATGAACATACGTGTGCAGGTGTCTTTTGGCAGAGCAATGTGTGTTCCTCTGGGAATAGTCCCAGCAGTGGGAGGAGGGTCCTTTCAATGTGGATGAAGGAGGCTGGAGACTGAGGCCATGTGAGAGACTTGACTAGCTCATTGCTGGCTTTGGAGACGGAAGGGGCGTCAAGGTTCATGGCGGTCTCAGGAAACTGGAAAAGGTGAGGCGAATGGTTCCTTTCTGGAGCCTCCAGTGGGAAGACAGCCCTGCTGGCAACTTGACTTAGCCCAGTGAGACTTGATTTGGACTCTGACCTTCAGAGCTGCAGTCGAAAATAAGATTTACATAAACAAATAATAAAGATACAGAGGTGTGTGGTTTTGAGCCATGGTGTGCATGCCAATTTGTTACAGCTGCAACAGGAAGCGCATACACCCAGCTAATAAGTGGCAAAGTTGGGAACTGAACCCAGAACAGAGGACTCAGTCTCTGCTGTCTCCATCTTGTCTGTCTGATGATTAAGCTCTGCCCCCCACTTCACCCACCTCTCTTCCCATTCCCTGCTCGCATTTCCGGAGGGAGGCAGACTTCCCCACTCCTCGGCTTGGCAGGGCACAGTCTTCTGGTGAGAAGAGCAGGAGAGAAGATTCAACACGGGGATGGGACTGGGTCTGGGTTTCAGTCGCCCCCTCCTCCTCCTCCTCTCACCCTGTCTCCTCTTCCCATCTCCCCCCCACACTGTGGGGGACCAGGGTCCTGAGTAACAGGCCCCCAGCAGCCCATTTCTTGGGGAGTGAAGTGAGACAGGGTCCGTGCTAGCCGTGGGGGCTGGGGGCATTGGGGGCGGCAGTGTACAGCCCACGTGGTCTCTGCCCACAACAGGCATAACCTGGCTGTGTTGGCATTTTGCTTGGTTTCTCTTCCCTGGGTGCTGGATCCTCTGAAGCAGGGGGTGCGTGGGATGAGGGGGAGTGTGTGAGTCTTTTCTTGGGGGACCCTGAGGTCTGTGTGCCTATCTTAGGGCAGGAGGAGATGTCAGGGCATCTGGATGCCTGGTTGTGGGGGAGACCCAAGGGTCCTGTCCCTCTGGTGTTGGGGGTGTCTCCGATCCCGTGGCCTTCTCTGGACACTGCCTATTCAGCCCAGGTGTGAGTGTGGGAACATGTGAGTGTGCAAGGGTGCCTGCTCACGACCCTGGTGTGTGCCTGTGTCTTATCACACCCTGTGTATGTGCATGAGTGTGTGACTGTGAGTGTGTAAATAAATCTCTTGTGCTCGTGTGTGAACGTGTGTGAGAACATGTGTGTGGATGCCCACACCTACCTCTGTGTGAACATGTGTGTGCACAAGTGAGACTGCTCACACTCCTGTGAGTATGAACATGAGCATGAGTGTCTACTCACCCTGTGTGTGAATGTATGAGAAAGTGCACTCACACCCACTCATGCCCCATGTGTGAACACGTGGGTGTATGTACTCCCCCCGTGTGTATGTGTGTGCAAGTATGCGACTGTCTCTGTAAACCCCTGTGTGAGCGAGTGTTTGAGTGTGTCTATTTCCTCCCCGTGTGCACGAACATGTATGTGCGTGTGAATGTGCACACTCCCAGCCTGGCTGGGGGCCGCCACCCCCTCCCCAGGCCAGCCAGCCAGCATTGCCTCACCCTGTGACACAGCCACTAATGACTGTTTGCCATTGTCTGAGCGATGGTGGCATCACCCGCACTAATGACAGTCTCTGCTGCCTAATGACCTGGCTTCTGCCCATCATCTGGGATCCTCGGAAGCACTGGCCTCCTGGCCAGAGAGATGTTGACGAGCTCAACGTTTCTCACCAGGGTGTCTATGGGGGTGGGGAAGGCATAAATCCATCCCCTCCCCCACAGCCCTCAGGGTGCCGTGTGGGCTGGGCATCTCAGCTGGCCAATGGCCTCTTGGGCAGGAAGTCCCGATTCTGGCCTGACCCTCAGTCTCCTACAGGGCTGGACAGCTGCTACTCCACCCCACTTGCTGCCCCCAGACCCCAGACCCCAGCCACCAGATCCGTGGCAGCTCCCGTAGATAGGACTCTGCCTCCCCCCACGAAGTCCCAGTCCTCTCACCTCTGCGGATGGAAATGTCCCTTCTTAGCAGGTCTCTCTGTGCCCAGGAGGCTCTGGACTGGGGCCACCCTTGGGGAGTGAGGAGTTCTGGACCAGCCAAGGAACCACAGGGGCCAGGACAATCCCCTGGGTGGCGGCCACTGCAGAAGCCTCACCTGCTCACCACGCCGATCTCTCTCTTATGTTCAAAATTATGTTAAAATAAACTCCTGGATTCTGAAAGAGGAGCGGGGCAGGGCTGCTCCCTCTTTATTTTATTTCAGATTCAGGGGGCACCTGTGCGTGTTTGTTGAATGGGTGTATCATGTGGTGGTAAGGTTTGGACTTCCACTGAATCCATCACCCTAATAGTCAATATGGTACCCGACAGGTGGCTTTTCAACCCCTGTCCCCCTCCCTCCCCTCATCTTTAGGAGACCCCAGTGTCTGTTGTTCCTTTCCTTATGCCTGTGTGTACCCAGTGTTTAGTTCCCACTCATAAGTGAGAACATGTGGCATTTGGTTTTCTGTGTCGGTGTCCATGCGCTTAGATGAATGGTCTCCAGCTGCATCTACCTTGCTGAACAGGCTGGGACTTCATACCAGCTGCTGCCCCTTCCTGTGAGCCCAGTCATACATTCACTCTCCCTTCTGGCTTTGAGACGACCCCATCCCACTGCTGTTCTCTATTGCCGGGTCTGCCTGCTCCGACCTGAAGTTTACCCAGGTACGCAGAGAAGCCCAGTACTCTGCCTGGCCCAGGAGGGACTCACTACAGGTTTTCTTGGTTGAGAGATGCATGCACAGGATTAGCGGCGTGACCTTGAGCCGGCAGGCTGCCATCCTTTGCGGAGGGAGGATACACCTGCTTCCTAGCGCTGTTCTGAGGACTAAGGAAACGACATGTATAGAGTACATAGCACGTGGCTGGGCGCACAATAAACTTTTTAAAAGCCTCTCTGAGCCTTTGTGGCCTTCTATATAACATGGGAGGGACTGGCTGGTGCTCGGGGCTGTTGTGGGGATTAGTGAGGATGCTTGCAGCCGAGGGGCGGCTCACAGCAGCTCTCCATGAGTCTTCTGCTTTGACACCTCTCCGCCTCTTCCGTGAGGGGCTAAATGGGGGAAAGGAGTGGGTGCCCCAGCTGTCCCTGTCCTGGTGGGGGCACTCCCTCCTTTGCCAGCCTAGGGCTGTGGCTTGTCTAGTCACAGTGCGATTTCTCAGACTGCTGTTTGCAACTCACTAGTGGGTTAGAAGGCTAAAAAATCACCCCAGAGTGCTTTACAAAGTATTGTTCTACGAATGCACATCTGTTGGTCTCTGAAATGTCTTACTGTGGAACAAGGTTAAAAAGTGGTAGACACCAGGTGCACCATCTCCAGGCCAGGCAGGAGCAGGGACGAGGGGACTCCTGGTTTTGCCTTCCTCCTCCTCGGCGCCACCATGAAGTTTGCATTCAGTGCCCATGTATGTTGTCCTGGTGTGGTTGGGCCCCAAAATGGTAACACCTGGATCTGGCAAGAGACACATCCCTTCCTGCTCAACCCACTCTCAAAGTTCCCCCTCTCCTGCCATCTGCCCAGATGGGGTCCAAGCTTTGCCATCCAGGAGTGGCTCATGGAGGGTGGATGGTGGTGTTGCAGGGGAGGCCTGCAGGGAACCTCTCCTCTGGACCTAGGCCTGGATGAGTTTCAGGACTGAACCAAGCTGTCCCTGAACCCTGCTTCTTCCCCTCAAAACCTGGACACTTGGCCAGCCAGCCCCACGGGTGGGGTGAGGGCATCAGAAAATGCTTCCCACAGAAGCAGACGAGTCGGGGTGGGGGTTCTGAAACCCACGAGCTCTCTTTCCCTCCCCCAGCACTCAGCCACATTCTTGGTGGGCGCCTTACTGATGAACCAGTGGGGGTTATCGCTGCCACGTACTAAGTGAGGCCTCCGTGCTGGGCGTGGCATGAATCGGTCGGCACATATCCTCAACTCCAGACTCTACCGTCCTCTTAAAATGTTCCTGCAATTGTGCTCATTTTTCAGATAGCAACCTCAAGGTCCAGAGTGGTCAAGTTCACACAATGAGTGAGCGCGAGAGCCACGATTCAGTCCCAGGTAGACCTCTCTACCTACTGCGGCCTCTGAGGGGAAGACCCTTGTGTGTTGGTGGGGCACAGCATTGACACGCAGCCTGACTCCAGATGCCAGGAAGAGGAGTTTGGTCTCGGAAGGGTTTGCAGTACTTCCACAGGGGAAGCTAACCTCTTCCAGGCACTCCTCAGAGATGCCTGTGCAATCTGACCTTATATTGATAATCAAGGCAAGATCTTGAACAAGGGGAGAAGTGGCTCACGGTTGGGCGTTTTGTCAGCGAGACTGCTGGATTATCGAGAGGAAAAAACTGCAGCATGAGAGATGGGACTTAGATTCCAGAGTCTTCCCTGACACTCCCGAAGGACAGGGACTAATCCTCCAGCCAGATGGGCTTAATTAACACTGGGACTCTCATAACTGGTGATGACCGTGGGATGCGGGGTTCTGTGAGAACACCGGTTAAGTGACACGTAAACAAGAGCAGATGAACACGGGGTGACTTGAGATCCAAGTGCCGAGGGACGCAGAGTACTAGGAGGTGAGAGTCGGGTGGGGCTGCCCAGGGAAGGCTTCAGGCAGCAGTGGGGTGCGGAATGGCTAGGAGGGACGTGGCTTTCCTTGAGGTTGGGGCAGGCAGGGGGAGAAGCTGGCATCTGGCTTCCCAGCGGCATCATTCTGGAACCAGCCTGTCCCTGGGGGCCCCACCCCAGAGACCCAGCACAGTGACCTGCTACCCTGGGAATTTGCCCTGCCTCCTGGGTGGGGACTGTCCAGCCGCACGCCTGCCCAGCCCAAGTGGTTGATGCCGCTTGAAAATGACATGGAAAGGGGGTGTGGCCTTGAGCCAGGTCCTCCTCTCCAGGGTTTTGGCCCAATTTTGGTCTGTGGTCCATCCAAGCATCTTCTCTGTGGGATGCTAGGGAGAGAGATGGCGGGGGAGGGTGGCTTCTGCCCAGGTGGGGGCTGTGGGCGATCCTGGGAAGTGTAGTAAAGATGGCAATATGGCATGGAGGCCAGTTGGCAGGGTGCGTGCCCTGCAGTCAGCCTCCCTCCAGGCTTGGCTGTGTCCAAGACTGGGGCTCGAGATAGTGGAGAGAAACCTCAGACTCAAGGAACCAGGGTTGGAGGGACTTGGAGGTGAGGGGCCCGGAGGACGATGGAGTGTGTGTGTGTGTGTGTGTGTGTGTGTGTGTGTGTGTGTGTGTGTTGGCCCCAGGTTATGAGGTTTCTGGGGAGTTTTTTTTGAGTCAGAATCTCACACTGTTGCCCAGACTGGAGTGCAGTGGCATGATCATGAGCCTGGGCTCTGGCTGTCCTCCCACCTCAGCCTCCTGAGTAGCTGGCATTACAGGTGTTTCACCATGACCAGCTAGTTTTTTTTATTTTTAAAAAATTTTTTATAGAGATGAGATCTGGCTATGTTGCCCAGGCTGGTCTCAAACTCCAGAGCTCAAGCAATCCTCCTGTCTTGGCCTCCCAAAGTACTGGGATTACAGGCACGAGCCACTGCGTCTGGCTGGTTTCTGGTTTTGAGGAGGCCCCTACAGGGTGGGGGAGACTGGTACCTCCCAGGCCATGGTCCCAGGCAGGAATAGCAAGTGCACCCCAGGCACTGGTACTTGTTGGTGGTTGGAGAGGGAGAGATATGCAGAGCCCAGGTGGCTTCCTGCAGGAGGGACAGGCCATGAAGTAGGGCTGGGAAGCTGGAAGGGGTAGGGCCTGGTGGGGGGCTCCCCAGTGGGGACAGGGAGGCACACTTGTCCAGTTACATTGGAGCTGAAGGCCTGAGATGAGAGAGTGATCTGGGGAGTAGAGAGAGCACCTCGAGGGCAGAGCTCTGGGCTGAGCTGAGGCCTTTGCATGAAAGTCAGGAGACAAAGGGAGCCCCTGACTCCAGCAGGACATGCCAGCCATGTCTCCCATGCTGTTCCTAAATCTGTAGCCTGTCCAACCAGGGCTCAGTGGAGGGGTCTCTCAACCCCAGTGGAGGGTTTTGTGGTAGGGGAGAGGGGATGATTGGGGAAGGACATCCAGGAGTTGGCAGAGGAAGGAGAGACACGTGTGTTTTGGGGCTGGAGCGACTCCTGGTGTGTCCTACCTCTAGGGACACCAGACACTAAGAGTAGCACCTATCTGGGGATTCTTAGTCACTTTATAACTGGCATTCAGATGTGTGCCTGCCGCAGGCTCAGAAGTGACAGCATTTGGCCATTACTTCTACCTAGCACATGCTTGGTGCTTTAAAACACGGCATCCCTGGTCATTGCCTTGCTAGGCTATGGCGTGGCCGTGTGTTCTTTGAGCTATGGCCAGGCCATGTTTTCTTAAGTTTTGGTCCCCTCCCCTACCTTGGTGAGGTGAATCACCTCTTTTTCTCTCTCTCTAATTTACTTTTAAATAAACTATATTTTCTAATTTAAAAACAAAGCAAAACAAAACACGGCATCCTGTCCAGGGGCAGCAGACGGAGATGCTAAGGACGGGCTGACCCCCACGTGTCTCCTCCCCTCCCGCATTGTCTTTTGGGAAGGGGGCAGTGGAGTGAGACTGCTGGGAGCGTGGAAGGGCCTGGGGGGAGGGGCAGAGACAGTGAGTCACTAGCTAAAGGTCATGCGTGGAGGTCAGAGGGACCTTGTACCTGGGTCCCATAGGGACGGCCTTGCTGTCAGCTCTCCACAGCCTTCCCAGCTTCTTGGCTCCTTGTCCTTGGGCTCTGTGCCCGGCCCCTGCTGCCAGTACCTGCTCTCCGAGCCAGTGCCTGGCAAGCATAGCCATGAGATCATGGGGCGGGGTGGATTGGCAAGCCCCCCATCTCCCCTGGAGCTGCAGCAGGTGCATGTCGGAGCCCTGGGCCCGGCGCCTCTGTAATCTCCCTCCTGGCCCCATACCCTGCAGGGAGGAGGCTTCTCCAAGCAGCCAGTTCTGCCTCTTCAATCTCAGTCCCCAGACTCTGGCAAAGGTGGAACCTTGGCCCGTGCCATGGTATGGAGACTTGCGATTAGATTTCAAGAAGGACGTCCTACTTGAAAGCTGAGATGGTGTGGTAAAGGCAGAGGGAGTTAAAATTAAGGACAAATTAATAATAAGTACATTGCTCATCAGTGAAGGCTCCATGTTCTACTCTGTGCCAAACACTAAGCAGCAGTTCTCATGTAATCTTCACCATGACCTGGTAGGACGTGGAAACTCAGGCCAAGCCTTCAAAGCCAGTAAACAGAGGACCTGGTGCCTCCACTGAGCTTCTAACTGTAGGGTAAATCTGGAAGATCCAGTGAGCCTGGCCCCTGGAGCACACACAGATTCGCGTGCTCACTCTTTCCTTAGTTAGCGTTCAGTGGTGAATAAGACAGAGTCTGGAGGTCAGACATATAGGGAGGGTGAGGACTGAGTTTGTGCTGTGGAGTGTGGAAACCAGCACACAGAGGTGGGTGGGCCTGTTTCTGTCTGACACGTTGAGTCAGAGAGAAAGCAAGTATGTCAGAGCTGCAGCACGAGGGAGCGAGGCGAGACAGCAAGACATTCGGACTTCCAGGGCTGTGTGTCACAGGCACGTAAGGGTGTTTTTCCTGGAGAAGGAGAGCGTACCAGGGCTCAGACTGGAAGTGGGAGGACAGATGACCCATGGCGGGGGTCTTGGTGCACACAGATATGTGTCCAGTCTCTAATGATGTGTGTGTGTAAATGTGTGCACACACGTGTGTCCACAGACTCCAGTGATGTGTGTGCACACATATGCGTCCACAGTCTCTAGTGAAATGTGTGTGCACACACCTCTCCAGTCTCTAGTGATGTGTATGCATGTGCACACATGTGTCCACAGTCTCCAATGATGTGTATGTACACACACACGTGTCCACAGTCTCTAGTGATGTTTTTGTGTGTGCACACATGTGTCCACAGTCTCAGTTCTGCCTCTTCTATCTCCACATCTGCTGTTGTGCCACAGGCCCTGGAGGGAGGATTGGCCCCTGTGCTGATGGCCTAGACTGGACTTTATATTTGGGTGCAGGGCTGACTTGACTGCAGACCATTCTTGTGCCCCAGTATCCTCCAGTTTGGCAGACCCTTATTCCAATCCTGCCCCTCCTATGCCTACTTCCAAGAGGTGCCCTCAGCCCCTTCTCAGAGGACCGCCATCCTCTCCCTTCCCTGAGGATGCCCTGGGGTCTGGGACGTAGCTAGTGGTGGGCATATCCTACACACTTCCTGTGAGCCCACAGGTCCACCTTGACTCCCTGCATCCACAGGATTGGAGCCACTGCAACGAGTTCACACATGTGTATGGCATGGGTACTGGAGAGGACAAGACATGGATGACTCTTGCGTGTAATGGGGCTGGCTCTCAGTGCTCCTTGTCAGGTGTTGTGTTGGCTGCTGGCCCTGTCTGCCCTTGGGGTCCAAGCCTGTGCTCTATGTCCGGGGGCTGGGATCAGATTCCGTGTTTCAACATCCAATGACAGCACACACATAATCAGAGTCCTGGGATGTCGGGGTTGGTGGGACCTCAGAGACTACAGAGGCTCCTCTCTCCTTCACTGACAGACAAGGCATCCCCCAGAAGGGGAGGGGCCTTGCCCAAGGTCACACAGCGATTTGGGGGTGGGGCACAGCTGGGTCTCTGGACTACCAGGCACAGCTCTGTATGCCATGTCACATTCTGTCCCTAATTTTGACAAACCTCTCTCCCCTGCTCTTTGCTCCAATCTCTGTCCTTTTCTCATGGCTTCCACTCTCAAGTACCCCCATCCAGACCCTGTCCCTTTCTCAAGGCCTAGCCCTGCCTCCTCCACCCTGGAGCCCGCCCGATTTCTCTCCCTTAACTTCTGCACCGTGAGTAACACGTCCTGCTAATCCTCATGCCCTAATTGTCTGGAGCACAAATTAATGCTTTATTACCTGATGCTCTAATGACCTGGGTCCTAACCAGGCTCAATTGCTTCCTAGCTGCGTGACCTTGGGCTACTTACTTAACATTCTTAATCCCCTGTTTTCTCACCTGTGAATGGGGCAGGCTTTCCAGCCTTAGCGAGCAGCAGACATCTAGACCCAGAGGGGCAAACTTGGAAAAAGCCAAGGTTGAAATCTACAGGTACCAAGGGAGTCAGGGGAGGGGGATGGCGGCAGAAAGGCAAGTGGGGGCAGTATGGAAGGAGCCTCAGCTCGGAGTGGGGTTGAGTGATTGGTAGCGGGGATCATCGGGTGAGGCTCTTTGCAAGGGAATAACCACACTTCCCCCCGCCAGAGCATGGGGTGGCCATGAAGTGGGAGGAAAAGGGCATGGGCTTTGCAGTTGGCAGGTGTGGATTTAAACCGCAGTTGAGCCAGACTCAGTGGCTCAGGCTGGAATCCCGTGCTTTGGGAGGCCTAGGTGAGTGGATTGCCTGAGCTCGCGGGTTCCAGATGCGCCTGGGCAACTTGACGAGACTTCATCTCTACAATAAATCAAAGAAATTATCCAGGCGTGGTAGCGCGTGCCTGTAGTTCTGGCTACTTGGAAGGCTGAGGCTGAAGGATCGCCGGAGCCCAGCAGGTCGAGGCTGCGGTGGCCGGGAGTGGCCACTGCACTCCAGTCTGGGTGACAGAGTGAGACTTCAACTCAAAAAAACCAAAAAACAAAAACCCCAGCTGTACCACGGGCTAGCTATGTGACGCCACACACATGGCTAGGTCCCTCTCAACCTCCTCTTTCAATCTGTAAAATAAGGATTCTTTGGCTGGGCATGGTGGCTGCATTCTTTGACTGGGCATGGTGGCTGTAATCCCTGCATTTTGGGAGACTGAGATAAAAGGATCGCTTGAAGCCAGGAGCTTGAGACCAGCCTAGACAAACTAGTGGACCTTGTCTCTACAAAAAAATTTTAAAAAGGTGGTTTCTCTCACCCATATCAGCTCTGGCATGTCTCCCTTTCTTTCTCTTTTCCTTTTTCTCTAATAAAATTTGTTTTAAAACTTAAAAAAAAATTGCCCTGGTGTGGTGGGCATGCATCTGTAGTCCCAGCTACTCAGGAAGCTGAGGTGGGAGGACCGCCAGAGCCCAGGAGGCCGAGGCTGCAATGAGCTGGAATTGTGCCACTGCACTCCAGCCTGGGTGACAGAGTGAGACCCTGACTCCAAAGAAATCCTTAGAGTAAGGATTCAAAGAGGAGTCATCTCTAAGTGGCTTGGCTTGGAGTCTTTCACTCTGTAAGTGTTTAGCAAGGAGTAGCTGTGGTTTCTGTGTCGGCACTGTCCTGTAGCGCGTGGCTGCCACCCAACCTGCCCTGTCCCTGGGTCTTGCTGAGCCTGGGTGTCAGGCTCACTCCTCCCTTCCCAACCTGGAAGCTTCCCAAGGGCGGGGCCCACAACCTTCGTGTTCTTGCTTTCACTGTTTCAGGAAGTGAGGGCACTGGGAAAGCTGCTCGGGAGAAGTGATGCCACACTTGGAGCCTTGGTGGCTCTGCAGAGGCCCCAGGGACCTGTGGATGGGGGCCCTCGGGCCCTCTTGGCCCCCTATCGGCTTTGTAGTGTCTGAGGCAATCAAGGAGCTCAAGAGGCTGGTGTGGACACAGTGTGTGAACGTGATGTGTAGCCACGTCTCCCGCGTCAGTCCTGGGGCTCAGGACCGCAGTGGAACTGCGTGGCTGGTGAGCGCCAAGAGGGGCAGGCCCGGCTCTTGAGAGGAGCATGGGTGGGGGTGGGGGTGCTAGGGGGAAACTGATGGTCAGTTGCCCCCATTGTCTCCTTGGCCCCAGTGCATGGAGAGGGAGCCAGACACAACAGCAGTGAAATAATTAGAGCCGGGCTCGGTGGCTCAGTCTGTAATCCCAGAACTTTGGGAGGCTGAGGTGAGTGGATTGCCTGAGACCGCGGGTTCGAGACCCACCTGGGCAACTAGGCGAGACCTCATCTCTACAATAAATCAAA